GGCCTAATACTAAGCCTTAGCATAGCATTATAGATGTATGTTAGCATTACCAATCCCATTTTTGGCAACTCTTTCATCATTTTGGGGGCGATTTTGTCAATACCAGGCGCTCTTTTGATATTTAAGAAGCCAATTTCTTTTTTGATCTCTTTTGGGCTGAATAGTTTTATTGTCTGAATATTTGTCGGTAATGTGGTAATATCGTCCTCTATCTCTTGATCAGGATGACTGCCATTAGGCGTAAAGACCTTCGATAAGTGTGCTGCGAAGAGTTCCGCTTTCTCTTTATCGCTACGAGACCGTCGTTCTGGATGACCTATCTGGATTTTTAAAAGGCGATACAGGAACTACAGGTTTTAGTTGACTTCACAGGTGTCCAAATAGAGTTGTCGTAGCAATTGAGGTTTCTGAGGTAATTGTGTAGTGTCAGCTCTCTGGACTTCTTGATTTCCGCTCTTAACTTATTGATGGCCCTGTTATATGCTGTTCTGTCTGATGGGGCATGACTTGGTTGGCATGTCTTCCTAACCCTTCTTTTATCTGCTGTAAGTTTTTTGATTTCAGTAGGGATATTTATACTTGTTGTTTGTGTGGCGTATAGAGCTGCTTCTTTAAGAATGTTAATGAAGTTAGTCAGGGCTATGTCTAGTACTTCAGGGCTTTTAAGACTGATGCGTAAGTTAATGGCTTCTTCTATTTCTATCTGATAATAAGTCCAGTTGGTTCTTCTGTTGTGAAGCCTGGGAGTGGTTTTTTTATTGACAACTTCGGTACTAATAGTAGCTATTACGATTGTGTGGTCCGATGAAAGGTCATAACTAGGGACTATATCCATATAGGTTGTAGAGATGCCACTTGTAATATAAAAATCCAATAGATCTGGGATTTTGTCTGGGTCATTAGGCCAATAGGTAGGGGTTCCTGTCGACAGGAATGAGTATTGTTGGTTTCGTATTATTTTCAACAGCTCTCTACTTTGGGCGTGGTCAAGCGAGATCCCCATAGTGTGTATTGGCAGTTGTAATCACCCCCTGTGATGAAATTATTTCTTAGTGTTCGGAAGAATTCGTAGAAGTTTTTCTTCTTTGATATTATGCCTAGGTGGGCAGTACACCGCAGCCACTGTTAATTCGTATGCCTTCATTTTTACCTTAATTGCTGTAGCTTGTAGGAAGTTTTTTTCTTTCAAATTTCGGTAATTCATAATGGCTTATTTTATTTTTAATAAGTATTCCAGTGCCTACGTGTGCAGTGTTATCCGGATGATTGGCAAAATATACGTTATAATGGGGTATCCTGAAGTATGTTCTGTCAGGTAAAGTGGGTTTCGCTTACCAACAATATGTCTATTACATTGTGATCCAGAAATGTTTTAATTTCATCTTTATGCTGTAATAGACAGTTGGCATTCCAAAGGGTTATTTTCAGAAACTAAGCCATTGTGGGATTTAGTTAGTAGAGATGATAACATGTTTAGTATCATAGTATTCTGCTGGATAAGCTGACTGAACATGTTCTTGAATTCTTCAAGAAATCTGTTTAAGGTTATGGGTGAAGTGTCTTCTTCTTGTTGGCTGTTATGTGTAATTCCTCGTGTTCCAGCTGCGTAACTAGCATTTCTGTATGCATTGTTTGTTGTTGTTTTAGGTATTTCGGGTCTCGCTAGGGAATCGGGATTGTGCATGTTTACTGTAGGGTTTCGTTGAACATTTTGGAGCAGTTGGAGGAGAAAGAATTCTTGACCCTACCGGAACTCGATTATCCGACTTCTCGTTCATCCTGCCAGTAGCCAATCTCTATACGGACTACGCTCGTTACAGCAAAGGTAAATTCATTAAATTTAATTTAATGTCATATATTTTTCTCCCTTTCTTCAGTAGAGCATACAAAGAAAAAATAACATTACATAGTTCAACCACATGAGTTGGAGTGAGTTTACTAGTTGTCGTTTCTAATTCATGTAGGATAATATTTAAATGTCAAAACGCAGTCGGGGGCAACAAGGACACCCAGTCTTACGATGATAAGAATACACATAATACATAATACATCAGACTGTACTTAAAAAAATACCTCTCGTAAACACACGACAACAGAAATTTAATAGGAAGGCAAGAACATACTAGTAATTTGTATTTTGACGTTATTAGTGACTAGTAGACGGGGTTTTAATCAGTGAGTCGATTTATTGGATATTCACCAGTCGTAACTACAATTAACTATGATGCTCTCAGGATTACTGTTAACTATATCACATAAATAATGTCTGCTTACACTAACCGTTGCTAGGTAACAGATTTCGACAATGGCTAAACTCTGACAGTGTTTCCACTATCCGTTTCCTGCCAACGGATCTATAGCACAGGAACTATAGCAGTCTCATTTGAGCACACGCTCCAGACGTTACACATAGAGTATCCTCTTCTCAGCCGCACTCTTGCAACTACAAGTAACTCTTCTCTTCACAGCCTCCCTTGCAGAACTGAATTCTCAACTGGACTCTGTACTGTGTACTCAATCTGCAATCAAAGCACTTGACACACACCAAATCACTTGAAAATTTGGTTTGGGATTGCTACCAGTCCCTCTTACAACCGGCCAAACATAACTGAGTTCAGCTGATATGGGTGCCGGACAATGAGGGTATTGCTGGGGATGAAACTGCAGATCAGCTGGCAAGAACAGGATCTGAACCAGGTTGCGGCATTTCAGTAGGAGAGTATTGCTGGGAATGAAACAGCAGATCAGCTGGCAGGAACAGGATCTGAACAGCCGTTCATAGGACCTGAACCAGCTTGCGGCATTTCAGTAGGAGAGTATTGCTGGGAATGAAACCGCAGATCAACTGGCAAGAACAGGATCTGAACCAGCTTGCGGCATCTCAGTAGGAGAGTACTGCAGGGAATGAAACCGCAGATCAGCTGGCAAGAACAGGATCTGAACCAGCTTGCGGCATCTCAGTAGGAGAGTACTGCAGGGAATGAAACCGCAGATCAGCTGGCAAGAACAGGATCTGAAGAGCAGTTCACAGTACCTGAACCAGCTTGCGGCATCTCAATTGGAGTTGCCAAGAAAGCGATCAGGGACTAGACTAACACAAATAAAAAAAAAACACTGGGAATCCACGACTGGATTCAAACACGCAAAAGGATTTATATCAGGACCATCTANCATTTTTTAGCATATTTTAATACCGGTATACTTATATTTTAAAATATAATTAATTAAAATTAATTGTATATTAGTATTAAGTAATTAAGTTAATAGAAGAAAATTCATATCCGCTTTTTAATAATTCAAGGCTATTAGAATTTGGATAATCTTTAACTTATTAACTAAAAAATAAATAAATGTTGGCACTCACATTAATGAGATGGGTGAGCCTGCCGATTCTTGCACAGTTCTATATTTGGATGTAGCTGGCAAGCTTAAGTCGGAGATCGTCACATACATCGAGTCGATTTCGGTACTTTGTTTTTATTTGAGTTAGTGATGAAAGCCCTTTCTCACACAGATACGTAGAAACAAACTGAATTATAATCTTTAAAACACCATTGTACAGTTCACTATATTCTCTTTTCACTGGTGATGAGGTCCAGAAATTAACCATACCTTCTGCTTGGAATTTCATTTGAAGTCCGTTGTCATTTGAGAGTTCGATTAACTGTTCTCTTTCGTTCAATGAAAGTTTGTTATTTTCAATATTGCAACGGAAAGGATCACGAACCCTTCGTAATATTCACTTGGAAAATAAATTTCAAATTGTGATCTTAGAGTTTCGAGATGCGAACATATGTCATTGCATATTTCTTTTTCAATAACGAGATCATTTTCAACTAAAAAAGACTCTAGGATTGGAAATGGCGAAAAATTCCTCTGTTTTACACAACTGACCCACAAATCAAGTTTCCTCTCAAACCCCTTTATTTTATCATGGGCACTGAGAACAGTCAAAGAATTACCTTGTAGAGAGAGATTTAGTTCGTTTAGTTTTGAGAATACATCTGAAAGATATGCCATTGTACTTAGCCACATGTCATCGCAAGAAATGACGTAAAATCTTCGTTAATTTCGTTTACAAATAACAGGACTTCCTGTCTTAATTCAAAGAGCCTTGTGAACTCCTTACCCGTGAAAGCTAGCGAACTTCAGAATAAAGAAGCTGTTTGTGTTCCCTACTCATGTCTTCGCAAAGTAATGAAAATATTCTGCTATTTAGAGGCCTTGCCTTAATAAAGTTGATTATCTTAATGCTGTCTTCTAACACGGTTTTGAATTTAGATGACATATCTTTGGCCGCCAAGGCTTCCTGTGAATGAAACAACGGGTCCAGGTAACACCAGGAGCCACATCTCTGACTTTGGCTACAACGCCACTATGCCTACCGGTGAGCGCACGAGCCCCGTCCGAACAAAAACCTACATATTTTTTCCAATCAATTTCATGCTCTTGCATGTACTCATTAAGAACTTTAAAAATTTTTTCTCCAGTTGCACGAGCTGGCAAAGTCTTTGAAAATAACATATCTTCATGAATGGCATTGTTAAACTCGTACCTGATATAACAAATCAACTGCGCATGATTCGAAACGTCTGTTGTCTCGTCTATCTGAAGTTAATAAAATAGACTTTCTTTTATTCTACTGATAAGTTCAGATTCTACGTTATTAGCTATGTCATTGATTCGGCGTGTAACTGTATCGTTTGAGAGTGGTATTAAATTAATTTCCTTAGATAATTTTTCACTAAACATTGTTTAACTATATCTTTTGCAACTGGAAGTATTAATGTCTCACCTATAGAATGAGGTGAGCCGCTCTTCACGTTATGAAGACTTGTAATATAGGAAGTTTCTAAGGCCTTCTTAGTTGCTGAACCTACACTAGAAACAAGTTTCATTTCTTTGTTCATTTTTTCAACACATCGTTGAAAAAATTCGACAGGTTTGCTTTCTACACTTGTGTGTTTCGTCTCCAAGTGCCATTTCAATTTCGCAGGTTTCATGCACTCGCTTGAAAGCACTTCGTGACAAGCAGCGCACCGAGGTTTTGGTTCCCTCTCATTGCCACACCAAGTAAGTCAAAGTTCCAAATAACTCTTGTCATATTTACGAAAGTAGATCATCGACCACTAGATATTTTAATGGTACTAGAATCACTGATATTAATATCTTCACACACATCTTCTGAACTTTCAGCACTGCCCAAATGAAGCGAATCATCACGTTCCTTTCTTTTCAAAGGTCCGGATCTAAGCCAGTTTTCCGTTATGTATAATGGCACTATTTAACACAGACAACTACTAGCGTGTACCACGTAAGGATTTCGAACAAGTAACGGCTAACAGACAAGCGACGAATCAACAAGGCACAGAATTTGTTATAAGTTACTTGTGATTGGCTACAAAAAATAGAATTAGAAAAGTGTAATTTGAATTCCTGGATATGATTTGCCCGGATTTTAAAACAGCCGGAGTCTAAAATTTCTCATATTGTCATGTGGAAAAACAGAAATTAAAAAAAAATTAATGCAGGAACATGCCCAATTTTCAACAAGTAAAGATGGAATTTGGCACTGTCTATTATTGGTGTACGACGTACGTGACCATTACGAGGGGGTACCCAAAAGAAACCGAACTTATTTTATTTTTAAACTTATTTATTCAAATTTTAAGCACAAACCTTCAATCCCCTTCAAAGTACTCTCCGCTTACACTAATACACTTGTCTAGTCTTTTATTCCATTTTTCAAAACATTGTCTAAATTCATCTTTTGAGATGCTTGACAGCGCCTCCGTCGTTTTTTCCTTTCACGTCTCTTTTCATTCGAGGAAACAAAAAAAAGTTGCAAGGGACAAGGTCGGGTGAGTATGGAGGGTGAGGAACAGGGGTCATACCATTTTTGGTCAAGAATTGTCGTACAGACAGGGCTGTGTGAGCAGGGCCATTGTCATGATGGAAAAACCAGTCACCCGACTGCCACAAATTTGGTCGCTGAGCTCCAAGTCACTCCCGACAGCTCCACAATTTCTTCAATGGTCCGTCGTCGATCTTCCTTGATGATTTCACGAATTTTTTCAACATTTTCATGTGTTCGGGCCGTGGAAGGACTACCAGAACGAGGTTTGTCATCAATTGACAGTTCACCATTTTTGAAACGGGAAAACCACTCAAACACTTGAGTTTTTCCCATAGCATCGTCCTTGTACGCCGTTTTTAACATTTCAAGAGTTTCTGTTCCAGTTTTCCCGAGCAAAAAGCAGAATTTCACCGCTGCACGCTGTTCACGAAAACCAGCCATTGCAAAAACGACGATCACACCAAACAGTTGTCACTATGAACTCTGCCGAAACTAGTCCTTACCTTCTGAAGCAACGGTAGTCGGCTTATCGACTCAGGAATGTTAGCTCTATGCGCTCATAGCGGCAAAACGCGGTACTACAAAAGCTCTGCCCACAAAAAATTAGTTCGGTTTCTTTTGGGTACCCATCGTATAATGTGCACATAGCTCAGACTGGGTGTCTGCAAAACTATTTAAAAAGTCATATATTCTTGAAAAGAAGGTTCGGTACTTTGGTCCACTGTTATGAATTCGGGTGGTCCCTGGCTGGGTTAGAGGCGCGGCGCCAGACGTACAGGAAAGGGATGGCGAATAGCATCACTGTCATAGTGCTTTAAATCCCTCTTTTGTTGCTGAGAGTAGAGTGGGTAGTCGGTAGGCGGGTAGGGTAATAAGTTTCATAAAATGTCAGTACTGGGAGAAAAAGTGAGAGACGATTGCCATGTGTAATTTCCAAACTCTGAGATTTTCAGCTATAGTGTTATACGCAATTCAATTGAATTTTTTCTTTTTTGAAGGAAAACAAGGGCACACCTCGAGGACCACTTGTGGTCCGCGGACCATAGTTTGAGAAACGTTGCCTTATGTGATTGTGAGGCCATAGCTTATTTAAGATATCGCCACCTGCGTCAATTCTTCATGGAACCTAGTGACATTTATGACGCCCCCATAAATAAAGTCCTACATTTCATTCGAAGTGTAGGATTAGTAATGGGTTAATCCAAAGGGGAAGAACAATAGACCATTGAAGGTCGCAGTTCTGGGACCAGTTTTATGGCTCACCCCTCATACTCATACTCATCCTAGTTACAATTCGCTCTCATCCTGCCGAAGTCAAAGTCAAAGTCACATTTGCTACTGACGGTCAGTTAGTCAGTCAGTCTTTGTGTCGAGCCCCATCTGGGACTCATGACCAGATATGTATTACAGTTTGAGAGTTACGGTCTTGTTTTTGTGGGGCGCCCTCTATGACGAGAGGACGGGTTTGTCTTTTGTATATGCTACTGGCCGTTGACAGCGCACTCGATCTTAGGTCCTAGTCTCTCGGGACTCGCAACCATATTCTACTATCTCAGATTTGAGACTTCCCTTTTCGTCGCCTCCATCGACTCACAGGGTCACAGTGGAGGTATTTCCCCGAAGTCGAAGTCGAAGTCGAAGTTGAAGTCACATTGAGACTGACGGTCCGTCAGTCAGTCAGTCTTGGCGTCGAGCCCCATCTGGGACTCATGACAAGATATTTGTTACAGTTTGACAGTTACGGTCTTGTTTTTGTGGGGCACCCTCACTGACGAGAGGACGGGTTTGCCTTTTGTATATGCTGCTGGCCCTTGCCAGCGCAGTCTTTCTTAGGTTCGAGTCCGAGTTCGAGCCGAAAGCCTGCCACTGGACTCAGGTCTGAGCCGGGTCAAGATAATTCACTGCTAATTCTCTGTTTTTATAGAGCTCGAATGTTCATAATTTTCGCCATTAGATTCCATCCTGAACTGGTTCAAGACAGTTGAAAAACAATTTCCTGCACATCTTAATATCCGATTTATCTAACGAAAAGGTGACAATGAAAAAAAAATGCTGTAAGGATTATGCAGAAAACAACTAACACATGTGTTATGGTCTTGTTGTCCATATCTAGTTCTATTATTTGGACTCTTTCCTTTGCACTTCCCATGCACGCCTAGCCTCCCCTCAGTGTTACATGTTCGCGCACCTCATCCTTCTCCGTTTCATCAGGCAACAATATTACGTAGGTCAGCGGCAACATTTGCAGAACTCCCAATTATGTAACTTTCATTTTAATTTCCTGTCGATTCAACACTTATTCCAAAATGTGACGAAATGAAGATGAAACGAAAAACCTATAATGTTACCTTCCCACAGTCTCCATAATAATATCTTCCCTTTAAGTTTATCGACGAGAATTTGGATGCATTTCTCATTTCACATATATGTTACATGTTGCAATCACCTTATTTTTCTTTATTTGATCGCCTGATAATATTTTATAAAGAGTTGCAATTTTTAAGTCATAATTATGCAATTTTCTCAAAATCATTAATATTGTGACGTGCAGTTCCCTTATATAGCCGCAGTGGTGCCCGTTGCCACGTCATAGTAGGAAGCGGTGACGCGTCACCGTGTTTGCGTATATCCTAGCAACGCTGTCCGGAGTTGTTGACTGCTGCCTAGCAACCGCGATATCCCTTAGTGACGTCACCGCTGTTGACTCGCGTTGCATAGCTACCAGGTTGCGGGGACTCGGCTAACTTCGGCTCCGCTCGGCACGTCACCGCGGGGAGAGTGGAGGGGTGATGACTCGCCTATTACGCGAGCGCTACGTTACCGCCACGTGCCGCTGGGGAGGTAGGGGTCCTCCGTTGCGCAATATGTCACTATATTTTCATTCTAAAAATTCATTACCGTGAATACAAGAGCAGCGATTTTCCCCTATCATCAGCCACATATATTCAGTCAACATAGTCGGATACTATTTTTCTATGATCCTCTTTAATATTGTATTCTCATCTGTGCCTAGTCTCTCAGGTGGTATCTGCCTTTCCCTCATTGTAACATGTCGAAATATAGTGTTTCTTTTTTATTTTGAGGAAACGTTTTCACCCACACAATCCTCCATCTGGAGGACCACCTCTTAGCGACTGTCCGTGAACGCATATCAGTGCATGCGCAGGATACCTCTACAGGCTTCTACTTACTTCACATGTTTTACAAATATTATTTTCTAATTTCATTGCTAAAACTTTTATTAGGCTCGGAACATAAACTTCGTATTTGTGGTTCCTTTGTTGCATGCCGTACCATATATATTAAACGCTAATGTTAATATTATGTTAAATTTAGACCAAGAAACAGATGTTTTGAAAATGTGGCGCATTTTAGATATTTGGAAACAACGATAACAGATCGAAACCTGATTCAGGAGGAAATTAAGAGGAGATTGAACTCGGATAAAGCTTGCTACCATTCAGTTCAGAACCTTTTGTCTTGTCGTCTGCTATCCCAAAATATAAAAATTAGAATATACAGAACTATAATTTTGCCTGTGGTTCTGTATGGGTGTAAAATTTGGCCTCCGACATTAAGGGAGGAACATAGACTGAGGGTGTTTGAGAACAGGGTGTTGAGGAGAATACTTGGACCGAAGAGAGATGAAGTGACAGGAGGTTGGAGAAAACTGCACAATGAGGAGCTCCATAACTTGTACTCTTCTCCAAGTATAATTAGAATGATCAAGTCGAGGAGGATGAGGTGGGCAGGGCATGTAGCACGAATGGGGGAGACGAGGATATTTGTGGGAAAGCCAGAAGGAAAGAGACCACAGGGAAGACCAAGGCGTAGGTGGGTGGACAATATTAGAATGGATCTTAGAGAGATAGAATGGGTTGGTATGGATTGGATCGATCTGGCTGAGGATAGGGACCAGTGAAGGGCTCTTGTGAACACGGCAATGAACCTTCGGGTTGCATAAAATGCTGGGAAATTCTTGATTAGCTGCAGAATTGGCGGCTCCACCAGAAGGGCTCAGCTCCATGAGTAAGTAAGTAAGTAAATTTAGACCTTGAAGATGCAACGATAAGTGCTACCCCAGATTCGTACAGTAAGACAAGCAGCAAACACACTGTTGTTTCCCCCATTAAGCCATATCAGGTTTTACTGTCGTGACAAATCCCATGTCCCTAGATGGATAACGAACTTCTCTCCTGTGTCGCACAGCATTTGGTTCAGTAACACGAACACGTATACACTACACGTCACAGGGATATGTCTTTTTCTTAACTCATAAAAATTGTTGCTTAAAGGTCATAAAACAGTTTAAAATATTTAACTCTTTCGGTCTATATATTTCAGTGTTCTTACCTCTTAAATTCTGCAAGCTAAGTGAAAATCAGAGGACGTATTCCTATCTTCATGGTTTATTTTATAACACAATCAGCAGCTAAACTATTACAGAGTTGAATGGTGGATAATGAATTGGAAAAGACGTGGGAGGAATTAGTTGTGGCCTAATCGCAGTACTATCCTGACATGTGCCTAGAAGAGCCTGTGGAAAACCACTAAAACTCTCAGTCATAATATTCGATATCGCGACCAAGATTCAAATCGAACATCTCCAGAATAGAAGTCAAGACCGTTACCTCCAGATCGGCCTGCGCGGAGACTGTGTGTATGCTTGCCCACTTTTACGATTGAAACAAGTTAGAAAACTCACACATAGTAGCCTAGCAATTCTAAGCATTCCTTCTCCTACTGCAACTAGGTTTTAGTTTCGCTAATGATAAGTTTTTACGCTAACTTTTAATTAGGATAAAACGGAGAAGACGAGCAAGGACTTCCGATACATAATTTGATGACAATCGGTCCAACTGTCCTCCAGTTATTACATAAAATATGGTTCATATACAACTTCTATTCGAAATATTTTGTTTCGTTACCATATCTTATATGTAGGTAATTATGCTCGAATGCACGCAGAAATACATGTAAGTCTTCATGTAAGGCTCATTATTGTTATCTGGTATGAATTATCGTTACATGGTATGAATGGTATCAAGAATATGTCGACAGGTTTTAGTAAAAACTCTCGGCTAGTAAACCCATTATATGCGGTCACACAGATATACATGAGGAAGTTAATAGGGTTCAGGTTTTACAGGCTTTTATATCTGAACTAAGCCACAGTTAACAGTCTGACACATTTGTTGTAGACTTTTTACGTACATTCCTCTATATTTTTAGGTCTGTCTGCACACGGTGCATAATGGAAGCCGTCACGCAAGAACTGCCGACGGCAGCACTTAGCGAGCCGCTTGTATCAGGGCGGAAAACTGAAAACAAATCACGCCCGATTTTTGCTCAGGTGAGTGTGCTCTATGGGCAAGTAATAAGATAGATTCATAATGATGCTGAACCCAGCTCTGGGGCTCTGTAGGGTACATTGAATTTTAGATATAGAGTTGGGTGAGCGCAACAGAATAAGTGGAAATAAGAAATCAAGGAACGTAAAATACAGTTTTAGCCACTTCTGATTCCATCTCATACCTGATATGAATCACGAAACAGCGACTCGACGGAGCGGGTGGACTTGTCAGTAACGCTCCGGATTCGTATTCTTTAAGTATTCTGTTCCAATCTAGGTCGGCTACAAGTTATCCTGGCCCTGTTCCTGATGTTTCTGGTGCAATTTCTCAGTCCCTTCAGGTAAAACCTGGTAGTATTTCGATTATGTCATGATTCTTACTTTCCAAATCCTTCCCAGTTCATCATTCACATATCATTCTATCACTCGACGTTAGGCTGTATTCAGGGAGCATACAGCGTAGTAAAGTAGCCCACAGAAACGAAAAGCGTTTCACTATTTTTGTCTATGGACAAACCAGTAACCAGTTAAACAGGTAAATATTTTTTACTTTAAATGTTAACAGCCATTTAATTTATATACAACTTATTTATTGGACCGTCACAACACAACAATAAAAGAACTTCAAGGACAATGCCCAGATATAGTTCTGCTACATGTTTCGGCCACTAGTGGCAATCATCAGGCAAACACACTTCAACAAACGTACACCACTGAACTGCAGTACACAAAATTTGATACAATGTCATAAATCATTTAAGATAATGGAATATAATAACCTAAATATTGATACTATGATTCAACAGAAAATGGAAACTAAATACGACGCCCTATACAACAAAATTAGAAAACTAAAGCAAGATAATGAAAGTAACACCACTAATTATAACACTACACAACATACGTTTTTAAACGCACGATTAACATGACTAACATAATATTCACTTAAGATGATGTGAACCTCCTAGATAAAGGATTAAAATATAACCTACACAAGAAACCCCAAAATTGGATAAAAACACTAGCCCTTGAAGCTGACACCACTATTAGAATTTTACCTGAGAAAAACCAACCATATTTTAAGCAATTAGTAGCTAATAACCTACAAAAATTAATTAAGAAACAAAATGGAAAAAGTAATAAAATATATATTCAAAAAGAGAAAACAGAATGGAACACACTTAAGAATATAAAACAAAAATTAATTAGAAGTCACTCTATGATAGTAAAAGCCGATAAAGGCAACACATTAGTCATTCTAAAAAAAGAAGATTATACGTGTATCTATAAACTTGATAGCTTTATTAATAATAACAACCTTACTGAGTTATCACACGACATTACCAATAAAGCGCAACAAATTACTAGGAACTACATAAACAATTGTAAAGACATCATAAAGCACAAAGATAAATCGAAACTTATAAACGTGAACCCCCGCGCACCGCACATATATGGTACCATTAAATCACATAAACAAGGACAACCCATACGTCCAATAGTCAACTGGACAAACTGCCCAGCATATAATATTTCTAATCACCTTAACACAATACTAATAAATACTTTACATCTACCCAATGCCTTTAATGTGAAAAACACTAATACACTGGCGAATTTATTACAACTCATCGAAATAAATAGCAACACACAAATGTGTTCATTTGACATTGAAAATATGTATACCAACATTCCCACAAATGAACTTTTCAATATAATTGAAAATATTATTGCTAAGAATCAAAATATGTCACATGAAACAAAAATTGAAATAAATAATTTGCTAAAGATAATACTAGAACAAAATTATTTTGAACATAATGGTAAATGGTTCAAACAAAACGAAGGTCTTGCTATGGGAGCACCAACTTCAGCGATTCTTGCCGAAGTATTTATGCAATACCTGGAACATACAACTATCATTGATATATTGTCAAAATACCAAATAATCGATTATTTCAGATATGTCGATCATATTTTAATCATTTATAATTCTCATATATCTAATATTGATGATATGTTGTATGAATTCAATAATACCCACACTAATATAAAATCCACAATTGAAAAAGAAACAAATAACAAGCTTAATTTCTTAGATTTATCTATTGAAAAAACACACAAAAGCCTACAACTCGGAATCTACCGGAAATCTACCTCTACTGACCTAATTATTCACAATGACTCTTGTCATCCTTTCGAACATAAAAAAGCTGCTTTAAATTTTCTCTTCAATCGATTGAAACAATATCCTCTTTCACAAAATAATAAAATCTTAGAAGAAAATATTATCAGAACCATTTCAAACAATAATAACTACCCACAACATACTTTACAACTGCCAAAACCCTCTACAAAAAACACTGCGCGGAAAAATAAATGGGCCACCGTCACCTACTTCGGCCATGAAATTAGATGTATTACCAAACTTTTCAAGAATACTGAGGTTGGTATCTCATTTAAGACTAAAAACAATATAAAACATCAGCTGAAAATTAATTATAACAAAAATTATGTATATAATCTTAGTTAGTTAGTTATTGGAGAGGGTGGGTTTCCCCATGCACTGAGACCTGTATTGGTTCATTGTGCTTCCCGCTATGATTTCTACCAGTCTCTATATGCTACCGGTACTGATGCTTACCATCAGTCCCGCCCAGCCAGCGAGACCGGCTCTACTAGCTGAGAGGTATCTATAATGCTTGCCCCATCTACCAGAGGTATTAGAGACTGCTGTTGGGCGGGAAACGTCCGTTAATTTGGCTCAGTGACCTCCTTTGGAGATATGAGGTTCTTTTACCTGCCGTAAAGCTACGACACGGGACCCACGGCTTAAAATTCCTCCCGGAGGACTTGTTCCCTGAATTTTTCCGCCCTTAAAAATTCGACGACCTCCGCCGGGTATTTGAACCCGCGTACTAGAGTCATGAGGTGGGAACGTTACCTCTAGACTACGGAGGCCGCTTATATATAACCTTAGTGGAGTATAAACTACAATGTTACGACTGTCCTTTAAAATATATAGGACAAACTGGACGAACTTTCAATGTCAGATTTAAGGAACACATATTGGACAGCATGCACGAGCACAGTTCGATAGACAATATATTAGAAGTTTTATGTATCGGAAAGAAAGGCCGAACTTTAGACACATATGAAAGATTTTACATTTATGAAATTAGCAAGCAATGTTTACAACTTGATGATAATTTTACAGAAATGTTTAACCCCATTTACGATTTAGTAATTGATATACACAAAACATAATATACAGCTATAACCTTTTCCCGCCCCCATCCCCCAACATCTCTTCCTCATTCCTACCTTCCCCCTCTCTCCCTTACCTTGACTATCTCCTACACCACCAAACCAGTCGTTGTTTACCTCCCATACATTACGTACAATTCTCCGTATGAGGAGGCTCCAACTATTCCGTAAGTAATATACGTACTATATACTACATTTTCAATATTAAAACCAATATTAATTTAACATAACCTAATACTATTGTAACGCCGTGGCGGCAGGGGGCGTGGAGGTATCCCTCCTTGCCACCACAGCTTACGCTGTAAGGAGTTAACACAATACTCCTAGCTTACCCTCAGCTAGGATTCTCCTGTTTCTGGTCTTCCTTCTCTCATACTGCTGCCACCATCTATTTTATGTCCTAAGAGAGGTGATGAAAGTACCAAGGGCCGGTAGCGCGGTAGTCGAGCGTTCTCTGTTGGCTGGCCCTTTCATCCTTGTCTCCTCTTATTATTGGCGTAGAGCGGGCCTGCCGGGTCTGACCCGCCTCTACCTATCGTCTGTCATCTCTATGGTGGGAACTACCCCCTTGACATATTGTCATAGCTCCCTCCTGGCAACTCTTCATATAGTCTGCAGGTAGCAACGTATTACATTATTATTATATCTTAAGGGGGCGTTGATATCAAGGCTACTAAACGCTGCCTCATGTTCTCCCCTTCGGGGATATAGGCCTTGAGCCTCTCTCTCTCTGTTTCGACTAATGAGGATATGCAATTATTCCTCGTTTGACATAAACCGTTTTCATGTCTCCATTTCATACTACTCATTACATACTACTACCNCCTATCGTAAAGCTTCACCCTTAAAATAATCTGCCCGTAAAGTTATCATCTGGAAAGCCCACATACCATATTTATCACCAAAATCATTAGTCGTACTATAACGCAAATGTGCGTAGTCTACACACTACCGGTAATCTTAACACATACACCATAACGACAGCCATATTGCCGGGCTATCTTCCTAGGCAATTACTTGTTACCTAATTATTCTCCCCTAAGGGCTCGCCGGACACACTGGAGTTTGCTTTCAACATTTTCCACAACCTTTTTATCAACAATAATATTTAACAACATGGCTTATGTGAGTAAACGTGACTTACTTGGAATAAGAGACGCAGGCCCACTTCCACCACTCGTAAGGCCCATATTGAATAGAGCCTCCGGCTGACAACTGGTTATTACGTTTTTAGATCAGATCTCTAAGTCTCCTGAATTCAGTAATTTATATCTTTAACTTGCTGAATCTGCGGTTGACGAAAGAGGGAGGTTAACTCCTCCTTTCGTCCTCAATCTCCGGTGGAGAGTCTCCATTGGCTACCTTTTGACTGTGAGTGGGCCCGTGGTCCTCTTTGCTGCTTATTTAATAATATTATCTTTACTCCAGTGTCCCTGCAACGCGACTTGCAGAAGTGCTATTGCGCATTCTTCTAAATCAGGCATTCTTAACCTAGATTACCTGTCCAGGTGTTGACATACTAATGTAATTGCTGTAAAACATTTGTCGCAAGTCTTGGAACATTTAAGCAATGGCTTTTTTGACTTCTAGTCTCAAAATTGCCCCACAACAACTATTTTTATTATATTTTTTCAGATTAATTACTGGGCATCCTACACAATTTCATAATGAAACATTGAAATTTACTATTTGTCGACTGATACGTATGTAAAGTGGAAACAACGACTGATTCGATGTTAAAAAACATCGATTAAATTTTAATCTTCTTTTTTTATATATGACTTTTACTAGCTTTAAATAACCTATTTATTGTATTCTTATTGCAAATTATCTTAACTTATTTATGACACTGTATCAAATTTTGCGTACTGCAGTTCAGTGGTGTACGTTTGTTGAAGTGTGTTTGCCTGATGATGGCCACTAGTGGCCGAAACATGTAGCAGAACTATATCTGGGTATTGTCCTTGAAGTTCTTTTATTGTTGTGTTGTGACGGTCCAAAAAATAAGTTGTATGTATTGTAACACAGCAGGATGCATGAAATGAAAATCATTTAATTCATAATCGAGTCACATTTTATGTGTCAATGTTTTGTCAAGAGAATGCGGGACGGAATCATAACATAAGGAGAAGTAACCGATTCTTTGCAAATGTGGCAAATGTCATAACAAATAAAAAATTGATGGATGAAGAAATTAAGAGCAGATAAAATTCGGATAATCCTTGCTACTCTTCAGTAAAGAAGCTTTCATATTCTCATCTGCTGTATAAAACATACAGACTAAAATATAAGAAAGTAAAGCTGTCCCTCTAACAAGCCGTGAATTACCATCGGGTCGTGAGAGGTCGAGGTTCCCACATTTTCTCTAGACAGCAGGCTCACAGATGGCGGTGTGGTTTTCAACCTTACACGCCGGCCGCACTTTACCCTACCCCCAGGAAAATTCTTGGTACTCATTTCTATTAGAGGCTGAGTCGACCCCAGGGCGATAGTGCGGTTGGAAGGGTTAGGTCAATTGAAAAATCCGATGACCTCATCGGGATTTGATCTCTCGATCTTCCGGGTTGTAGTATAGTGCCTCAACCAACTACGCTACCGCGTGCCCCCGACAAAAATATGCAGAGCTATAATTTTGGTGAGGTTAATATTTAGAGCCAAGATGGTTGAAACAATCAGAGGACGAGAGAAATTGCATAATGAGGAGCTTCGTAACTTCAACTCCTCGCCAAATATTAGTTAGGATCAGGTAAAGGAAGTCGAGGCCGGTCACGGTAGCCGAGCGGTCTAAGGCATGCACTATCTTCGCTCGCTCGGAAGCCGGGATCGTGGGTTCGAATCCCACTCAGGGCATGGATGTTTGTGTGCGTTTTTCTGTGTTTGTCTATAGGTAGAGGCCTTGCTACGAGCTGATCACTCGCCCAAGGAGTCCTACCGTATGTGTAAGATCTAGTAAACCGAAGTGAAACGGAGAGTTTCATGGAGGTAGGCCTAGGCCCAAATTGGTGCTGTAGCGCCACAGGAAAAAAAGGAGGTCGAGATGGACAGGGGAATGTAGCACGCATGAGAGTGTAGAGTAGTGCAGCATACACTCACACAAACATCATCACGGCGTGGTGCTTAAATAAATACAAAGACAAACAAACTTTACTACTTTACTTAACACAGGATGAGTGGTGCTGAATTAACTACTTCGTATGCTTCCAGGCAATAATGGCAACTTTAGTGTACCTAACAGCTATCTGTAATGGATTAACTAGTGGCTACTCGGCTGTCCTTCTTCCTCAGCTTCGAGCAAACAACAGTGGCTTTGAAATAAATGAGGAAGCGGAGTCATGGATTGGTAAGAGCATGAACCTGTTCCTGAGACAATCGTGACTCAGGGAAGAATGCAGACTGGGGCGTTTGAGAATAGGGCTCAGAGGGGAGTGTCTGGAGCTAAGAGGTAGGAAGCAACGGGAGAGTGGGGAAAACTCCATTATGAGGGGTTTCATAATTCGCACTCTGTGCTAGATATTATTCACACGATGAAACCACCAGGAATAATAGATACAGGGGATGTAGCACACATGGGAGAAGAGGGAAATGTATAAACAATTTTGATATGGAAACTTGAGGGAATGAGACCACTTGGAAGACCTAGGACTAGATGCCAGGATAGTAATATGAATCATAATAAAAGAAACAGAACAGAAAGATACAGACTACATTCAACTGGCTCAGGATAAGGGTTAGTGGCTGGCTCTTGTGAACAAGGTAATGAACCTTCAGTTTCCTCTGAACGCTGGGAGTTTGACTAGCTGAGCAATTGCTAGATTTTCAAGATGAAATGTGTTCCGGGGACTTAGCTAATTTTGTATTTGTATATCAACACTTTCATGTGTGTGACACAGATTAATATGAACTTCTTCTAGTTTACTGTAATTTAAATGAAGCTCCCGTGTTGTGTCACCAGATCCTGAGGCTGTATAAATTCTGATTCTGTCAGACTTTACATCTAGCACTATTTGGTGTGGAATATGAATTATTAAGTTCCTGCAACTGTCTTCAGCCTCCTCTTACTTCCTCACTGTTTGGTCCGCATACATATACAAAATAACACCATCCTGAATATGAAAGGTATCTAGTATTGTACATCTGAGCGGCCTCCGTAGTCTAGGGGTAACGTTCCCACCTCATGACTCAAGGTATGCGGCGGAGGTCGTGGAATTTTTAAGGGCGGAAAAATTCAGGGAACAAATCCTCCGGGAGGGACTTTAAGCCGTGTCGTAGATTTACGGCACGTAAAATATCCTCATGTCTCTAGGAGACCTCTGAGCAAAATTAGGTAAAAAGTTTCCTGCCCAAGTAATTTCCAATGCCTCTGGTAGATGGGGGAATTATCGGGTACCACTGCCAGTAGAGGGGCCGAACTCGCTGGCTGAACGGGGCTGATAGCAAGCACCGGTATCGGAAGGGTATGGCGACTGGTAGAATATGAAAGGGGACGTACAATAGATCATCAACTGGTCGCGGTGCATGGGGAAACCCACCCCCTACAATAATGAATGAATGAATGAATTGTACATCTGCCCCATTTGTAAACATTTGCATCTGTTTGCAGTGAGCATCTATATTGGTAGTACATCTGTGGGCTGTCTGCTGAGTGGAGTCCTCATGCATTTGTGGGGCAGAAAACGCGCTGCTCAGATTGCTGTTTCGTGTGTCTGTACTGGCTGGTTACTGATAGCCATAACAAGTACATCCCCTCTCATGCTTCTGGGGAGAATGCTGGGTGGCTTGGGGAAAGGAATCTCCACTCCAGCCATTACTGTAAGTTGGGAATATGTGTGGTCAAAACACATGTAAATATTTTGTCATTATAATAGAAACATGAAGAAATACATATAAGACAGAATTTGCATACATAAATACGTTATTAGCAGGGCCTGGATCTTGATGACATGTTATCTTTTTTTCCTTGTATCCTATGCGATGCTCTTAAATATATAAATCTTGGATTTGAGCCGCTGGTTACAGAAATGTAAATTTTATAGGTAATTTTTTGTCATTTTTTGACATTTTTAGGTTTAAGGTCATTTTTTCATTTTTGGGGTAATTTTTTGGTAAATTTTTGGACTTTTAAGGGTATTTCTTGTCATTTTTGGCCATTTTAGGGAATTTTTCTTCATATGTTTTCTGAAATGTGAATAACATGGAAGCGAAGTGTTCTTTGTTTTCTCCTTTAGGTCATTTTTCTGGATTTTTTCGGTCATTTTATAGGTCACTTTTTGAATATTTCCAGGTCATCAAAATCCGGGCCCTGCATATTACATTTTTGCGTCATATTTTAGATCATTTTTCTGGATTTTTTCGGTCATTTTTTTAAATATTTTCAGGTCATCAAAATCCGGGCCCTGGTTATTAGTATAACACTCGTTGAGAATCCATTGAAAATTCTCATCATTTGCTATAGAGGCTTTTGTGCCATTAACATTCTTTGCTCTACCCCAAATTATTTTCCAGTCCTACATTTTATCCAAGATATGGCAAGGCCAGTGTTTAACATCATCTCCCATAAACAAATCACACAAATACTCAATTGTAAACTGTTTCCTCTATATGGTATACTACACTTCACATATCTACATTAACATACATATTATGAATACTCACACATTTAACATGACACACTGAAATAGAGAGACTACTTGCTCGTTCGTGACATAATAATGACTTGGAAGATGGAAGGGGAGTTTTTCCTGCTGATTTGGTTCCATGATTAAAATTATGGTTAACATTTTTTCGTTCTTCAAACTTGCATGCAGTTCTCCGTAGCTCATTCAAATTCCCCACAAGATATGTCTGAAAGTCCCAACATGTGGTATCACAGCTTTCATTTGTGTTCTTCATTAAAACTTTTTCCTGTTTCTGGACCACCAGTCTGATTAAGTTTCAACCATTCCCTTAGAGTAGAGGCATGGATGTCAAATTGTTGACTAATATGTAATTCTCTAATTTAGTTATGTAGGGGGCAATCATCCATGTTAGGTGGGTCCCTTGCCACCGCAGTATGGCACGTCCTCAGGTTGTGGATGGAGGGACGCCCTCCAGTTTTGGAGGGAAGCTGCGAATATTGAATAAGCAGTAGTGGACAACCGACAAGAGGTGGCCCACCAGCTTGGGAGTCGGGCGCGGGGCTAACAACTCCTTGCCGTAAAAAATAAGTACGTTACGAAAATGAAGGCAAAACCTCGGACCTGGACGGATTCCTGTGAAGGATGAGAATGGTGATCTGCCTGCAGATTCCCACAACATTTTGAATAGGTGGAGGAACTACTTCTCTCAGTTATTGAATGTATATAGGGTCAGTGATGTTAGGCAGACAGAAATCCATACAGCTGAGCCACTAGTACCGGATCCTAGTCCTTTTGAGGTTGAAAATGCTATTACAAAATTGAAATGGTATAAATCGCCAGGTAGTGATCAAATTCCGGCAGAACTTATTCAAGCAGGAGGGGAAGTATTACATTCTAAGATCCACAATCTAATTACTTCTACTTGGCATAAGGAAAAATTGCCTGATCAGTGGAAGAACTCTATTATTGTACCAGTTCACAAGAAGGGTGATAAAACTGACTGTGGTAATTATCGAGGGATATCACTGCTATTAACTTCATATAAAATATTCTTCTCTCAAGTTTAAGTCCATATATAGATGAAATTATTGGTATCATCAGTGTGGGTTTTGACGTAACAGAACAACTACAGATCAGATCTTTCGCATTCATCAGATACTGGAGAAAAATGGGAGTATGATGAGACAGTACATCAGCTATTCATAGACTTCAAGAAAGCCTATAATTCAGTTAGGAGTAGGGTTCCCAGATACCCCGTTTTCCCTGGATTCTTCCGTTTTTTCACCCAAATTTTGTTCCTCCGTTTATTGTTTACCCGGAGTGGATAATTCTCCGTTTTTTTTTATTTAAGTCCATTGCGAATTATATTTCATGGGTTAGATATTATCATAAAATTTTTGTAAACCTTGGAAAATGACATTGTTATAGTTTCTTTCGTTATGTTGCATTTCGTGAATGTTGGCAACACTTGAGGTTCTAAACCAAAGCAGAGGTTGTTGGTGATAGCGTATTTTTAATCCGTTCAGTAGTCGCTAGAAAGTCAGTGTCAAAGTAGTAAAAATATTTGAGGGTGAAGAAGAGCCATCAAAGACTCCTCCACGAAAGAAGTTGAAATTCCAGGCCAAACATAATCAAATATATTTTAAGAAATGGGAAGATATGTTTTCGTGGCTTAAGCCGGGACCAGACGAGAACCGGGCATTTTGTACGTTGTGTAGGAAGGATTTTAGTATTTCGCTCGGTGGACAAAGTGACGTGAGGCAACATGCACAATACAAGGGACATAAAATTAAGGAAAAATGTAATTCTGGAAGTTCAAAAAAACTTTCGAAATACTTTGTTAATTTAAACAATAAAGAAGAATATGACAACAGCACCGCGTGTGAACTTGGTTTAGTGTATCATGCAGTGTAACACAACTTAGGTTATTCCAGTCTGGACTGCGGAAATAAACTTGTGTCCCATATTTTCAGTGATTCCGCGATTGCTTCCAAACTTTCATGTGGAGGCACTAAAGCGGAAATGATAGTGAAGTACGTTCTTGCTCCTGAAAGTGTAAATGACTTTGTGTCTATTTTAAGATGTCCAGAAAATACTTCAAAATTTTTTTCGTTGGCTACCGATGCATCAAACAGAAGCAATCGAAAAATGTTCCCTGTTTGTACTTCGACCCTTTAAAGGAAGTGCAGAATAAACTTCTAGATTTTGTTGAAAGTGCTATGACAATTACTGGTTTGGTGCTGCAGAGCTTAGAAAAGTACAACTTGGATGTAAATTATGTGTCTTCTTATTGTGCAGACAATGCCAATGTGAACTAAGGAAAAACACATTCCATATATCAGTTGCTGCGAAGTAAAAACCCAAATTTACTGAAAGCTAATTGCTCTAATCATTTCATACATAACACAATTAAGTTTGCAGTTGACAGATTAGATGTTGATGTTGAAAGTGTAGTCTTAAAGATATATAATCACTTCTCTGTCTCTGCCAAAAGAAGAGAAGAGTTAAAATCATTCTTTGAATTTCTGAATTTGGAGTGGACTGAGATTTTGAGGCATGTTCCAACTAGGTGACTGTCATTAACACCAGTCATTTCTCGATTGCTTCAGAACTGAGAAGCAATGAAAAGTTACTTCAATAGTATTCCCAACTGTCCAAAATTATTATCTAACATTTTCATGAAAGATGACCCAGAGGAAGCAGTGTTGCCTGAAATCTACTTTAATTTCTTAAGTAATATTGGATGTCAGCTGGAAATTGTAGATGAAACACTGGAAAGGTCTGACTTAAGTGTACTAGAGACTTACAAACAAATGAAACTTCTCAGTTCTAAAATCCAGCAGAGGAGGAAAGACAACTTTTTTGGTATCAAAGCAAAAGTACTCATTAATGGATTGTCTATGCCATTACAGAAAAAGGTTACTGAAGACCTGAACAGCTTTTATAGCAATATGCTTCAGTATCTGCAAAAACGATATGATGTGACAGATGACAATTCCTATGCATCCCTTGCAGCATTTTCTCTACAGGAAAGGATTGAGTTCAAAGTTTTTGAAAAAGCCATAGAAGTGTTTCAGCTAAGTGAAAATGTTTGCATTGATGACCTGTATGAGGCGTTAAGCAGCCATCGAGATTACCTCTGCAACGGTGTGAACAGATACGGTAATTATGTAGCAAACTGGCTTACATATTTTTCTTCAGTACCTGAGTATGATGTACCAAATATTTCCAAAGTGGTAGGATTTTTGTTTAGCATTCCTGGCTCAAATGCTTTTGTGGAGTGAATCTTTTCATTCATGAAAAGTAAGTGGAGTGACACAAGAAACAGATGCTCAACAGATTTAATCAAGGCAGAACTCCAGGTGACAGTGAACTATGAAAGCAAGTCCTGTTCAGAATTTTATAAATTTTCAAAGGATGATGTTCAGTCATTAAAAAGTGCTAAGAGTTCAGTGAAATACAGTTAACAGAATCGGATCGACCAGCCCTTGAAAGTTATAAATATGTAGTATTTAATATTTGTGTGTTCTACAAATGTGTGCTAGGTAATATTTTGTGCATTCTGTAAATATGTAATAGGGCTAAGTAATATTTGTTTTGTTCTATAAATGTGTAGTAGGCCTATGTAATGCAGATGTGTAGTAGCATTTTGTAAGTTGTATAGTATGTTGATTATGTATATTTTATAGCCTCTTAGATGTGAAAAATGTCGTTATAAACAAGCAACAAGACACTCCTTTTTTTATTTTACAAAATCTGGCAGGAGGGAAGTATTGTACAATATTCTGATAAGAGTTTGGCATACCCATGAAACTAGTTAGGCTGATTAATATGTGTTTAAATGAAACGTATAGTATGGTCTGTTTAGGTAAACATTTGTCTGATAAATTTCTTATCCAGAATTGTCTAAAACAGAACAGGCTCCACATTACATGCAACAGGAACACATAACTACAATATCATAACTGACTATTTGATACTCTACATACAGAAATCAAGTTGTGACTGACCATCCTTTGTTTCTCTGGGTCCACAGAAGATAATATTAACACTTTCACGTTTGTAGGAGAAATGTAGTCAATTTTCTGCTAACGTCCTTTCGATATGGAAGGAAAAAATAGGCTTATGATGATATAAAGCTGTGAGTATGTGTGTGTGTGTGTTTCACTAACTTTTGTATGAACTAATTTATTTTCATGAAATTTGGAATGAATATTATACTATTGCAGGTAGATGCACGAATTTGTAAAGTGTGAGCAATATTAGTGCTGCTCACCTTATGGTCCTTAAGTAATGTAGCTAATAAAGCTGGATGAAATATGCAAAGTTTGAGAATGTAATTGTTTTACAGAATGTAGAATAACATGATGACAGTGTCAAGTTTCTTTTAGGTTTCAGTTTCATGGTGATAACTAATGAACCACTGGGGCCAGGCATGAGAAATTTAATGTGATGGCAGATCTTAAACACATGTACACATTATGTATGAACTACTGTTTATACCTGAACAATTACACACGTGGTGATTAGGTGAGTAGTTCTTTCAAATGGACCCAGATGAGTAGAAACCCCTCATCTGAGGGAGCAGATCTAGCTCCTGAAACCCTGCGTTCACTTTTAGAGCATTGGACAATGGACAAAATTCACAAAGCTAGGAATAGTAGGAAATAGTAGACACCTATCATTAGACATTTTGTTCAGGTTGATGACTCACAATATTTTGCAGTAATCAAATTTAGTTCCATTTATAAGAGCCATCCTATTTTATGGATAGTGAAGTGTGTTTGACTGGGTTTGAGGACTAGAAGGTACCGCACAACATTGAAACAGGGTGGCATCTGAACACTGAACTATCTGAATATATTCTTTATTGGGCTAGTTTCAGTTCAAAACTCTTACTGAAGTTTTAGTTACTTTATAAAGCCATGGGTGTTCAACACATCATTTGTTACAGTTCCATCTGGAAGAAATGGCAGACTCAAAACTAAGAGGCACCCTCTCTGCCTGCATCCTCCTAACATATTCTGGAGGCATAATGCTGATTTCCCTAATTGGCACCAATGTCAGCTGGCCAATAGCAGCAGGAGTGGGAGCTGCTATTACATTTGTAGATCTTGTGGGCTATAGTCTTCTGCATGAGAGTCCAGTGTGGTTGGTCAGAAACAATCACATCAACAAAGCCAATGAGGTGTTCAGATGGTTATGGGGACCCAACCATCAGGTTGAGGTAAGATACACATTCATTCTGTTAATTAAATAATTTTCCTGGGGAGTAAATTGTGGCCGCCTCGTAAGGCTGACAACCTTACCGTCATTTTTGAGTCAATCATCTAGATCAGCGATGGCCAACTGGCGGCCCGCGGGCCGCATCCGGCCCGCGACTTGATTTACTCCGGCCCCCTGCCAAGTCTCAGGTTTATTTTAAAAAATCTTAACTTCGTAAGCTCTATTGGCATAGAATTCAGTTTTAAATAGGACGTTTCATTAGCTTACAGCATTTTGCAATTGAGTGTATACGTTCTTACCGAGTTGGACAGTTCAAGCTGTTTTCTAATAACTGTGTTCATGTCATGGAAATCCCAAGTCCCCCAACCCTACTTCTGTAGGGAGATGGCACTGAAGGGAAGACCGTAGTTGTGAAGGATTTATGACACCTTCAAAATAGTAACCATTCCCAGCTTGCTCGCGGCGATGGGATGTTTACCGTTTCGCTCGGCGTCCTGGCTTTTCTTACGTGCCAGTTCTAGCAGAAATGTCTCCCAGTTAGTGCGATTTTAGAAAGTGAAGTGTGATTACAGAGTGTGAGTGTAGAACTGTTTTTCAACTAAAATTGTGTTTGAAGTTATTGTAAGTGATACAGCATGTCAAATAGTAAATTGAGAAAAGTTGATAGTGAAAATAGGGCGTTCAAATCTGAGTGGGAACATGACTATTTTTTTATATTAAATAAAGACCACAAGCCACAGTGTTTAGTATGTTTTCAAGTGCTAGCAGTTTTAAAGGAGTACAACCTAAAGAGGCATTACATGACAAATCATAAACAGAAGTTCGGAAAACACTCTTGTGAATCAAGGAAAGTAGTCTGCGATCAGTTAAAGAAAAAACTTTTCCAGCAGAAATCTCTTTTTACCAATGAAACAAAACAACAAGAAGAAGCTTTGCTGGCTTCTTATTTCGTGACATATGAATTAATGAAAGCTAAAAAAGCGTTAAGTGATGGTGAATTAATTAAGAACTGTGCGATAAAGATGGCAGAAGCTTTCAATGAAAATAAGGTAGGAAACAAATTTCAAACAGTGCCCCTTTCAAAACAGACTGTTACTAGGAGGCTGGAAGATATTAGCAACCAGATATCTAATAATGTGAAAGACATTATCGCTAATTGTTCCTATTTCTCAATTGCTCTCGACGAAAGCATAGATGTTTCGGATACTAATCAGTTACTGATATTTGTTCGTGCAATTAAGGAAGATTTTACAATTTTCGAAGAGTTGTTAAAAGTGTGCTCTTTACACAGCACAACTAGAGGTGTCGATATTTTTAACGCTGTTAAGAGTGCAGTGGAGGAATTCGGTGGTTTTGAAAAATTGTCCTCCGTAGTAACAGATGGCGCTAAATCAATGACAGGGACAATAAGCGGTTTTGTTGGATTTTTAAGACAGAATCAAATTACTGTACCTACCTTGCATTGTATTATACATCAGGAGGCTCTATGTGCCAAATCAATTAAACTGTCTACCACCATGGCTACTGTCACAAAAATTACTAATTTGATCAGAGGAGGAAATCGATCACTCACTCACAGAAAATTTCTGACCCTCTTGGAAGAAATGGATTCTGCTTACGGGGACCTGCTTCTGCACACTGAAGTAAGATGGTTAAGCCGTGGGAAATGTCTGGTACGGTTCTTTGAACTCCGTCATGAAATAGCAACATTCCTAAGAGAAGAGGTTACGAATTCTGCTGAACTGCAGAATGATCTCGAAGACGTCGAATTCTTGAGAAACTTGGCCTTTCTCACTGATATCACTCAACACTTGAATGTCCTGAATCTGCAATTGCAAGGCAAGAAGCAGACAATATGTCAGATGGTTGGCTTTGTTGACAGTTTCCGTAAAAAGCTACATTTATTTAAGTCTGCATTGGACAAAAATAACCTTCTACATTTCCCTTGCTGTCGGAAACTCTCAGAAGAAGAAGAAGGCTTGGAGTTTAGGGACTACACTGAAATTATTGAAGATTTGTCTTCAGAGTTCGACCGACGATTTAACGATTTTGAAAGCTTTCGACCTGATATTTCTTTATTCAGTAATCCTATACATTGTGATATAGAATCTCAGCCAGGTCATCTGCAATTAGAGCTTTGTGAACTTCAATGTGACCCATCCTTAAACACATCTCAGGTTACTGGAATTGACTTTTGGAAACTGCTTTCACCAGAACGTTACCCACTGTTACGAAATTGGGCTCTCAAACTTTGCTCTGTTTTTGCAAGTACTTACATATGCGAGACAGCGTTTTCATCGCTGAAGCATGTAAAGTCTAAGAACAGGAACAGACTTTCAGATGTCGTGTTATCGCATATTCTTCGAGTGGCAACCTCACAATTAGAAGTGGATTTTATATCATTGGTTTCCAGTTTTATGAAACTACAGTGCTCTCATTAAAACAGTGTGTATATGAGGATTTAGGTATAATCATTAGACAATAAAAACTATAATTGGAAGTCTTTTGTGCTCATCCCTGCTGAAAGAGGAATTTGTGCTGTTTTATGGTAAACAGTTGCAAATTTCAAGGCATTTTATTTTTCTTTCTTAAATTATAATTGCATTTTCCCCCGGCATATATAAAACTAAACATAAGGCATGATCTGGCCACTGTTTCTTTATGAAAGAATGCTCTGGGGGTAGAAGTGATAGAAGGCAATAAAATCGATTGGTGAAATTTTCAATATCGGCTTAATATTATTGGTGCAAACGTAAAATTTAAATACATAGGTTCAAATGCACTTGTTTTTACACGGGTTGTGACTGATTCAGTTTGGGGGGCAATACTCCCCGACCACTCGTCTGAAAGAAACACTGTATCTGGCCCCTGATGGTGTTCTATAAACTAAATTTGGCCCTCGAGATGTATTAGGTTGGCCAACGCTGATCTAGATAATGTGGGACCCTCAACGTTTCACAACCCTATGGGCCTTCATGGCCTCTTACAAGGATAGCTTTACCTTTTTAACCCTTCTTACCTTGACTGAATGCAGAAAACAAAGTTGTGAATGTTACAGAGCAGTGTATGGTGCATCAATTACTCAAGCTGTCACTCATAGAGTTACACTAATAGGTGTGCAACGATGGAAAATGAAGTTGAAAACTTTCAGTTCCATAAAAAAGTAAAGTTATCCCCATAACAGGCTGTGGAGACCCATAGCATTGTGAGACGTCAAGGCTCCCAGATATTTCTAGACCATCGACTCACAGATGGCGGTGAGGTTGTCAGTCTTATGTACTGGCCACTCTTTAACCCCAGGAAGGTTCCTGGTGCTCATTCAAAAGTCGACCACAGGGTATATTGCGGCTGGAAAGAATAGGTCAATTGCAAAATCCAAGGACCTCATCAGGAATCGAACCCGTGACCTCCTGGCTTGTAGCATAGTGTCTCAATCAACAATGCCACTGCATTCGAAAAATGGAAATTTAGAAAAGAATTTGTGATCCCTGTTCTCCATTGAATATCTCAATTTTTATTCTGTGTTGCAATGAAGTCTTACCTAATTAATATTTTAATTCACTTAGTGGGGGTGGAGTTCAACTGTGTCCACTCGGCACGGCGGCCACTGATTGGCCTATTGTAGCCTGCCCTCGGTGATTATAATGATGCAGAATTTGGTGGAATGAACATTGGCAGGGGAAACCGAAGTACTTGGAGAAAACCCACCCCAGCGCCACTTTGTCCACCACAAATTCCACTTGACCAGACCTGGGATTGATCCCAGGCCACCGCGGTGGGAAGCCAGCGACTAACCGCTTGAGCTATGGTGTGGTCAAAGTCCTACCTAAGTCCCGATATCACACCATAACATAGTTCAGAAGACGTGTGTAAGTTCTGCACAATCCTGATGGTGACATTTGGTGAAACTGTCTTTTTCTTCAGCTGTCTTTAACTTAGGGTTCCTGCATGCAATGGATGGAAGAATGAAGAGATGTATAGGGATCAAATTAATTAGGAACCATCAACTACTTGAGCGTAATTGGTACTTTAAGCCAAATGGTACCATACAACAACTGATCAGAAGAATAGGCATGGCAATAGTTAACACAAAGTACCACAGTTATGAGCGCCCAGCCATTACAGATGATGCCTACAGAAGTTGACACCCATGGTAAAATTGATTTACTGAGCAAGACTGTTTAGTAGGCAACTTCAGTGAAGGTGCTTTAACTTATTTATAAATGCGTGTGAATTAATGCTGCTTTTGTTGGATTTATGATGCAAACAGACCTTACCTAAGAGAGATTACTAAGAAATGTTTAACTTAGTACCAAGGAAGTTGGCTCAAGCAGTGACTCCTCTGACATGCATTCTGGAAGTGTGCTTGAATCTCAGCTAGGTCGCCAATTATTCTGGCTGCGGATTTTCGTGGTTTTCCTCAGTCTCCTACAAGGCACATGCTAGAATAGTAACTCAGACTATGCCACGGCCATTTCCTATCTCATACTTTGCAGTTCATTATTCACTAATCAGCATATCATTCAACACATACAGTCTAAGTTACTGACAACATTATTAAACAAATCATAAATGAAATGAGTCTTCTTGGGCAATTAAACATGTCAGTTTGGAGTCAATGACCTACATTTCAGAGACTGTCTCTGTTTCCATCATCAGGTGGTGACGAGATATGTGTTGTGCCAATCTGGGCTGCATGAGGCAGTCTCTGTTTCCATCAACAGGTGGTGACATGATATGTGTTGTGCGAGCCTGGACTGCATGAGACAGTCTCTGTTTCCATCATCAGGTGGTGATGTGATATGTGTTGTGAAAATCTGGGCTGCATGAGGCAGTCTCTGTTTCCATCAACAGGTGGTGACGTGATATGTGTTGTGCCAGCCTGGACTGCATGAGACAGTCTCTGTTTCCATCATCAGGTGGTGACGTGTTATGTGTTGTGCCAAGCTGGGCTGCATGAGGCAGTCTCTGTTTCCATCATCAGGTGGTGACGTGTTATGTGTTGTGCCAAGCTGGGCTGCATGAGGCAGTCTCTGTTTCCATCATCAGGTGGTGACGTGATATGTGTTGTGCCAAGCTGGGCTGCATGAGGCAGTCTCTGTTTCCATCATCAGGTGGTGACGTGATATGTGTTGTGCCAAGCTGGGCTGCATGAGGCAGTCTCTGTTTCCATCATCAGGTGGTGACGTGATATGTGTTGTGCCAAGCTGGGCTGCATGAGGCAGTCTCTGTTTCCATCATCAGGTGGTGACGTGATATGTGTTGTGCCAAGCTGGGCTGCATGAGGCAGTCTCTGTTTCCATCATCAGGTGGTGACGTGATATGTGTTGTGCCAAGCTGGGCTGCATGAGGCAGTCTCTGTTTCCATCATCAGGTGGTGACGTGATATGTGTTGTGCCAAGCTGGGCTGCATGAGGCAGTCTCTGTTTCCATCATCAGGTGGTGACGTGATATGTGTTGTGCCAAGCTGGGCTGCATGAGGCAGTCTCTGTTTCCATCATCAGGTGGTGACGTGATATGTGTTGTGCCAAGCTGGGCTGCATGAGGCAGTCTCTGTTTCCATCATCAGGTGGTGACGTGATATGTGTTGTGCCAGCCTGGGCTGCATGAGGCAGTCTCTGTTTCCATCATCAGGTGGTGACGTGTTATGTGTTGTGCCAAGCTGGGCTGCATGAGGCAGTCTCTGTTTCCATCATCAGGTGGTGACGTGATATGTGTTGTGCCAAGCTGGGCTGCATGAGGCAGTCTCTGTTTCCATCATCAGGTGGTGACGTGATATGTGTTGTGCCAAGCTGGGCTGCATGAGGCAGTCTCTGTTTCCATCATCAGGTGGTGACGTGATATGTGTTGTGCCAAGCTGGGCTGCATGAGGCAGTCTCTGTTTCCATCATCAGGTGGTGACGTGATATGTGTTGTGCCAAGCTGGGCTGCATGAGGCAGTCTCTGTTTCCATCATCAGGTGGTGACGTGATATGTGTTGTGCCAAGCTGGGCTGCATGAGGCAGTCTCTGTTTCCATCATCAGGTGGTGACGTGATATGTGTTGTGCCAAGCTGGGCTGCATGAGGCAGTCTCTGTTTCCATCATCAGGTGGTGACGTGATATGTGTTGTGCCAAGCTGGGCTGCATGAGGCAGTCTCTGTTTCCATCATCAGGTGGTGACGTGATATGTGTTGTGCCAAGCTGGGCTGCATGAGGCAGTCTCTGTTTCCATCATCAGGTGGTGACGTGTTATGTGTTGTGCCAAGCTGGGCTGCATGAGGCAGTCTCTGTTTCCATCATCAGGTGGTGACGTGATATGTGTTGTGCCAAGCTGGGCTGCATGAGGCAGTCTCTGTTTCCATCATCAGGTGGTGACGTGTTATGTGTTGTGCCAAGCTGGGCTGCATGAGGCAGTCTCTGTTTCCATCATCAGGTGGTGACGTGATATGTGTTGTGCCAAGCTGGGCTGCATGAGGCAGTCTCTGTTTCCATCATCAGGTGGTGACGTGATATGTGTTGTGCCAAGCTGGGCTGCATGAGGCAGTCTCTGTTTCCATCATCAGGTGGTGACGTGATATGTGTTGTGCCAAGCTGGGCTGCATGAGGCAGTCTCTGTTTCCATCATCAGGTGGTGACGTGATATGTGTTGTGCCAAGCTGGGCTGCATGAGGCAGTCTCTGTTTCCATCATCAGGTGGTGACGTGATATGTGTTGTGCCAAGCTGGGCTGCATGAGGCAGTCTCTGTTTCCATCATCAGGTGGTGACGTGATATGTGTTGTGCCAAGCTGGGCTGCATGAGGCAGTCTCTGTTTCCATCATCAGGTGGTGACGTGATATGTGTTGTGCCAAGCTGGGCTGCATGAGGCAGTCTCTGTTTCCATCATCAGGTGGTGACGTGATATGTGTTGTGCCAAGCTGGGCTGCATGAGGCAGTCTCTGTTTCCATCATCAGGTGGTGACGTGATATGTGTTGTGCCAAGCTGGGCTGCATGAGGCAGTCTCTGTTTCCATCATCAGGTGGTGACGTGATATGTGTTGTGCCAAGCTGGGCTGCATGAGGCAGTCTCTGTTTCCATCATCAGGTGGTGACGTGATATGTGTTGTGCCAAGCTGGGCTGCATGAGGCAGTCTCTGTTTCCATCATCAGGTGGTGACGTGATATGTGTTGTGCCAAGCTGGGCTGCATGAGGCAGTCTCTGTTTCCATCATCAGGTGGTGACGTGATATGTGTTGTGCCAAGCTGGGCTGCATGAGGCAGTCTCTGTTTCCATCATCAGGTGGTGACGTGATATGTGTTGTGCCAAGCTGGGCTGCATGAGGCAGTCTCTGTTTCCATCATCAGGTGGTGACGTGTTATGTGTTGTGCCAAGCTGGGCTGCATGAGGCAGTCTCTGTTTCCATCATCAGGTGGTGACGTGTTATGTGTTGTGCCAAGCTGGGCTGCATGAGGCAGTCTCTGTTTCCATCATCAGGTGGTGACGTGTTATGTGTTGTGCCAAGCTGGGCTGCATGAGGCAGTCTCTGTTTCCATCATCAGGTGGTGACGTGTTATGTGTTGTGCCAAGCTGGGCTGCATGAGGCAGTCTCTGTTTCCATCATCAGGTGGTGACGTGTTATGTGTTGTGCCAAGCTGGGCTGCATGAGGCAGTCTCTGTTTCCATCATCAGGTGGTGACGTGTTATGTGTTGTGCCAAGCTGGGCTGCATGAGGCAGTCTCTGTTTCCATCATCAGGTGGTGACGTGTTATGTGTTGTGCCAAGCTGGGCTGCATGAGGCAGTCTCTGTTTCCATCATCAGGTGGTGACGTGTTATGTGTTGTGCCAAGCTGGGCTGCATGAGGCAGTCTCTGTTTCCATCATCAGGTGGTGACGTGTTATGTGTTGTGCCAAGCTGGGCTGCATGAGGCAGTCTCTGTTTCCATCATCAGGTGGTGACGTGTTATGTGTTGTGCCAAGCTGGGCTGCATGAGGCAGTCTCTGTTTCCATCATCAGGTGGTGACGTGTTATGTGTTGTGCCAAGCTGGGCTGCATGAGGCAGTCTCTGTTTCCATCATCAGGTGGTGACGTGTTATGTGTTGTGCCAAGCTGGGCTGCATGAGGCAGTCTCTGTTTCCATCATCAGGTGGTGACGTGTTATGTGTTGTGCCAAGCTGGGCTGCATGAGGCAGTCTCTGTTTCCATCATCAGGTGGTGACGTGTTATGTGTTGTGCCAAGCTGGGCTGCATGAGGCAGTCTCTGTTTCCATCATCAGGTGGTGACGTGATATGTGTTGTGCCAGGCTGGGCTGCATGAGGCAGTCTCTGTTTCCATCATCAGGTGGTGGCGTGATATGTGTTGTGCCAAGCTGGGTTGCATCAGGCAGTCTCTGAAACATTGGGCACTAGGTCCACATTAATACAAATGGTTACACAAGATCCTCACTATATACAGACATTATAAAAGCTTCAAATCATGCATAAGCTATAAATAAATGAAAATATTCTAACTTAAATGCATTGTAATATGTGTACTTTAACAGAATTTAGCTAAAACACAATGTAATGATGGTACAATTACAGTACACTCTAGATGCAATTCCAGAATGATATAAAATACAATTGGGAATAATCTATCATGTGGTTTCTCTCTAGGTAGAGACTGATGTACAAGAACTCTTGAAAAGAATAAAGGATGAAGAGAGAGAACACACCAACCAAATGAATACAAGTCTGGCCTTTAGTCAGAAATGGAAACAATATCTGAGACCTCAAGTATACAAGCCATTCATTATCATCCACATATTCAACATTGTGCAAATTGTCTGTGGAACCAATCTCTTTATATTCTATTCTGTGGATATCATCTCAGGGCTCAAAAGTGATGGAAGTCTAGACGTCAACCTAACCACCATTTTAACGTCAACAGCAAGAGTAGTATTCATGGCTGTCTCTTGTGTAATGTTAGTGTGGATTGGACGTCGAACAGTTTGCATTTCTTCAGGTCTTGGTTCAGGTGTTAGTGCAGTATTGATTGGTACATTTGTTTACATGCAAAGTATTGAAGCCTGGATATTAATTGGCCTGGTACTCGTATATGTGGCTTTCAATACATATGGATATTTTGTAATGCCACCATCAATGATTGGAGAAATACTGCCATCTAAGATTAGATGTTTTGCTGGGGCTTATATTTTCACCATGAATGATATTGGTATGTTTTGTGCAACTAAAGCATTCTCTTCAGTTGTAAAAACAGTTGGTATTCATGGCATTTTCTGGATATTTGGTGTGTCTTCATTATTATGTTCACTGTTTATATACCTAATGTTGCCTGAAACAAAAGGGCGCTCTCTTGTGCAAATAGAAGAATATTTCTTACAACCAAATGTTCTATGGCTCACAAGAAATAAATGACAAGAAACGAGCAATACAAAGATATAAGGAGGCAAGTTTCGTTAAGACTGCAGCTAACAGCTGAGGTTCAAGGTAGACAATCCCATATGCAAGTAAGACATATTGGTGCCATGCAAACCTTCATGGCATCATAAGTGAATCTAAACACAATCATACTATTAACAACATAATGATTCAATGATGTGTATTGCTGTCCATGGCAGTGGCAAATCAATTCCTGACAGCTTCAGCTGTCATAACTTTCAACCACCAAATAAAAGAAAAATTTATTCAAAAGAAGTCAGTGCCTTTAACTGTGTGGACTACAATATATCAAATAATGGTGAATACAGTTACTCTTAAAAATATAAATATTTATGCAAGTAACTGGAGAAATATATCAAGACCTAGACCATCATTGTTATAAACCCATGCAAGAATTAACATTTAGAGAACTTTGAAAGACCTATGTTGGCACATCCAATTGAAGCCTGAACAATTAGGAAACCAGATAAAAAGAGAGTATTGGCATTATAAATGGTACTTATGAACAGAACTGTGCACACATTACCAATCATAACCAAAACATTTTTGAAAAATTAGAAATGCAGTCCTCACATTTTACAGAATCACTGGATTACTCAGAAACAACACATAAAAAGGAATACAAAAATACTGAAATAAATTATAGCACAAAACAACAAAAACGACGATAGGAACTTTTGCAGATGACACTGCTATCTTCGCTACCCATGACAATACAAGCACAGCTTCCTCTCATCTTGCAAGATCATCTAATCCTCATAGAAGCATGGTTAAACAAATGGAAAATCAAGGTAAATGAATCAAAGTCCACACAAACAACTTTCATCCTCCAAAAAGGTACGTGCCCCCCAGTGCAAATAAATCACATCAACATACAACTAAAAGAACAAGTCAAATACCTAGGAATATCATTTAAGAAATGGCTAGAAACTAACAGGCCACATGAACCAATGGCTGATATGAAGCTCTCAATGCTAGAGTTCTGGAACATTCACAAACGTAGCTTAATATGTAGTTCCTTCTGAATTACTTCGTTTGATATGTCATGTATGCATATTCATAAAAAAGATATATCTGGTAACAATGGTCATATTTATAATTACACAAATATTTTTAATGGTTCCATAACAAAAATAATTAATATATGAGTACATTTCATAATTATTGCCTTTCTGATATTTCATTCAAATGTGTAATAAAATATATAGAAAATTATAATAATGTGAGAACAGATGTCTAATATAAGGTATTGTGGGTTAGTATTCTATCTCCTGACAATGAATAAATCAATATGTATTTGTCGGGCAGTGATCAAAATTTGATTTTATACGCTTTTAATTTAAATTATGTTACTGTGGACTGCTTTTGTTTTAAAGCTGTGGGCTTATTTCCTCAATGTCGATTAACTTTTAACGTCCGAAGTGCACCGATCGTTACAGTAATGAGTATGGTCATCGTGGCCAAAGTATCCCGTTTTGTGCAGTCGGACATTTAAATTCCGCTAACAGAAGGTCGCGCCCTCCGCTAGTAGAAGCGAATGCCCAATCCCATATATTTAGTTTTAAATAGAGTAAAATTCAAGGTACATACCTTTTTTTTTTTGTAGTTATCTGCTTGACGTATATAGAGGTTCACCCTCCGCGTCATGTTACTGAATCTCGCCTTTGTACATTACCTCAGTGCACAAGTGCTCATGAATCATCTACACATGACAAAACCTTCTAAAAGCCGAATATAAATGTTCTTGCAAGGAATTGCATCGAAAATAATTTGGGATAAACAAGTTTGCATGTTTATCGTTTCATATAAAACATACTTCTGCCGTTCAAAAGAAATGCGACGCCAAGCTGCTCACAAGGTTATAGTGTTGTGGTCAAGGCAAATACACGTATGCATAAAATGGTTAGGTAATGTTGTAGTTTTGTACAGGTGGGGCCTGTTATCAAATTCTCGCTAAAACTCATTCTCATGTAAACAAAGATTCAGCAAAGGTTTCCGTTGATAGGAGGATTCTTGGGATCACCAGGCGTTTTCGCTATAACGGATACAGGAGATCAAGATCTTCTATTCGGTCCTCCCGAACTTATAAAAGACCATTCATTTGTAATATAATTCAGAAGGCAGTTAAGTAGTTAAATATTCAGCCGTGAAGTGTTAACCAAATAAGATTCGTTACCGAGCAACGACTAGCAAGCAGATACTGAAGACTTTATTTTGTGTGCTATAATTCTGTATTTCAGCATCCCGTTGCAATTGTTCAAATTAGCGTCCATTGTTTATCTTCTGTCAAAACTGCAACATTTTTGCATTCTACACTTCAACACTACATGTTTCTGCCCCAAACGGCCATCTTCAGGTGTTTTTATGTTACAGATATTTGATTAAAGGGCTAGTAAAGACAACAACAACCGCTGTGGAGGAAGCGCACACAAACCAGGAGCATATGGCGGTCAAAAACTGAAAATAGATCACGAACATGAGGAGCAAGCTGCCGAGAAAAACACCTTGGTACATTTACGAAAATGACGACACCCCGGGTGATGTGAAATAATATGCAAGAGAAATTTTAAAGGATTTTATCTCGTTTTACTTAAAAAGAAGACTACAGCGTGTGATTTTAACACGAATGAAAAGAGTGTAGCAGTTTTTAAATGAAATAAAAACACCTGAAGATGGCCGTTTGGGGCCGAAACATATAGTGTTGAAGTGTGGCATGTAAAAGTGTTGCAATTTTGTCGGAAGATAAACAATGGACCCTAATTTGTGTGTTATATTTACAGTAATCTGCAGAGCGCTACAATTCAGCAGAAAAGGTTTTTATATGTTTTTCAATGTTCACGCTGTCGTTCGGCATTTAACTTTTTCGTTTGGGTACATTATTACACTTATATTCTTCTAACCACTTCTTTAGGGGCCGCGCCATAGCTCAAGCGGTTAGTCGCTGGCTTCCCACCGCGGCGGCCCGGGTTCGATCCCGGATCTGGTCAAGTGGGTTTGTGGTAGACAAAGTGGCGTTGGGGCAGGTTTTCTCCGAGTACTTCGGTTTCCCCTGCCAGTCTTCATTCCACCAATTGCTCCACAATCACCCTCACCTATCATCTGGGGCTCGTACAATAGGCCAGAAATGGCCGCAGTACAAGGGACATAGTCCCAACCTACTAGCAATAAAATGACCGCTTCTTTTCCTGTTCTCTCTCACATATGCAGCCTATTACCAGCGGGCATCTTATTAGTGCGCGACTTTATACGCTGATAGCCTGTCTATAGTACTGCGTCATCCACTAAACAGTGGGATTGACAGCCGTACTTTCTTTTGTGATATTTTAATTTTGAGTAAAAAAACTACTAAGTAATATTGTGAGGTGGATGGCATAGCGGGAGGTGGGGGTCGCGTGATCTCTGTGCTCTCGAAAGTGACGTCAAATACCCCTACTCGGTGCATCAGTGTGCAACGCTCGGTAGACACCCCTTTCCCCTCGGTGACGTAACACTAGACGCAACAGTTGCTACGTAGCGGTAAACAACTCCCTGCAGCGCTGACCAGCAACGCCTTTGCAAACACGGCGGGGAGTCCGTGCAACGACTGTTCCTAGGCAATCGGTAAACACGACCTTACACAACAGTGGTGGCTATTACGTGACTGTTTTCTGTTTTGTCCGTAACGAGGCTAAATAAGGAGCATTGGACACTATTCCACAGTGAGTTACGAATTAGCCAGGAAGTCAGTCAGTCAGTGTTTGAGCAGGAGTGACACAGTGCGGATGGAACAGTAGCCGACCGGAAAGATGAATATAGGAACGTGTTATTAGAAGTGATAGCGTGTGGAATAGCTCCCGTATCGTACGGTGAATACGTGTAGACTACTGAAGATAGAGTGAATAGAATATTGTGTAGGGTTTGTAAAGCGTGTAAACCCGTAGCAGTGTTATAATTAATTGAAGCCAAGACTTGTAGGTTGTTGAATAAACCAATTAGCAAACTGAACGGCGTCTTAAGTGGCAAAGCTCGTTACAGTATTCAGAAAAACATAAAATAAACTGAATGAAACTTCAAACATACCATGACTTCTATTTTGATAAAAAGAACAGGAAAGGGGCCTGAGAGTGTTTTCTCTTGTCAATGGAGGGGGGTTCAGAGGTAAAAACCTTGAGAACCACTACCATAAGTTATTTAGAAATAACTAACCCCCATATCTTCAATGTGATGTTTAAATTTCAAAATTTATAAATTATTGCACAAATTTCAGCAAACATCATGTTAAAATAAGATAACAAAATTATTAGAAATAACGTTTATTCAAACATACGAACATAAATAAATAGAAAATACGCAGAGTTACTGCATATTTTATAATTACAAATAATTCAAAAGCAAATTACAATTACTTTTAATAATTACAATTAATTCTACTGCATAGGCCTGGAACACACTATGAAAACTGACAACCTAAATGCAAAAGCGACATCCGCTCCTTTCATAGATTTTGTCCTTCTTAATGCCGCCAACATCTCCGTTTCGAACTGATCGTCTGAATCAGATTCAGAACTTATATCAAGTAATAGGTGTTATGCCACATTTCAACGATAATAACTGCGTCCTTCACACTTCGCTCCTATCTCACGCTGTGAACGTGCGTCCTGCCTGCGCCTCAACATGCGCCCGGCCTAATGTGTCGAGCAGCGCAAATTGAGCAAATGGCAACGAAACTCGCCGGTAGACTGAGAAACTCAATTTCCAGGCAACAGAACATGCCACTCTTCTAACGAGTGAGTTGCCGCGTGGATTCATTGAAATTACAGTAGCTGTTCCGTAACGCGTTTCAGTGATTCATAACTCAATTTCTAGGCAAAGCAGCATGCCAGTCGTCTAACGATTGCATTTCCGCGTGGATTCTTAGAAGTCAGCTGTTCTGTAACGCGTTTCAATGATTCATTTGTTTGTAGGCGTCTTGAGTAGATAGTCATCCACTGCTGATAATCCGACAGGCCCTGTAGAGCTGTAGAGGACGGGTGATGGTTTTAATCTTTGTGGCTGCGTTGCGGCTGCCAGTTTCCTCGGTGTGCCCTCGCTCTAATTACAAATTATTCTAATGTCACTGAATTTATACACTAAATATTACGTTATTCCACGGGACTCATACGTCATGTAACGGCACTGCTTCTTGAAATCTGCTTGTCACTGTTCCTGCTAGAAGTCCTAGTTATCGGATTAGGTCTTCAAACCCTGAGAGTCCTTGACATGGCCCATACTATATGGGAGATTAACGTGGAAAATATACAGGAAGGACATAGCAAGAAGTGGCCAGTGCGATAAGTGGGCACGAGGGCGCTTATACTGGATTTAAGCCGTGGCTTAATATTCACATACTAGCAAGATGAAGGCTTGCCGCCTTCACGACTGCATTCGCCTTGTCGCTTTGGCGGTTCAACGTGGATCCTCTCGATAATTTCGCCGCCCTCTTCAGCACTACGAGGTTGATCACCATTGTTGTCTACTAAGGAGTGGTCGGCGACTTCTTCACCATCATAATCATTATGAGGACCGTCACTACTGTTGGTCACAAAGGAGTGTTCGGCGACTTGTTCACCTTCGTGAGCACTACGCGGTCCAACACCACTGTGGTCTACT